ACATGGATTATAATCATTCTCTCTGTCCATCTGTTGTTTCCCGATTTCCGATTTATGACGACCGACTAATTGAACAAATCATATTAGTCTAGGCTTGGCCAAGCGCTTAGGGTGTCATTACAAAATCATCGAGGGGCCCACGGACATCGCTTTTATCCATATATGAACAAGGAATTAGTCTTAATTTTCCAAATATCAAGATTCTCATACATCACATAATTCGAATTGTAAGATTCCAAGCTTTTGTCCAATTGAAACTTGGGTGATGAGAATCCTTCCTCACTTGGTAAATTATAACACTACCAGAAGCGATATAACTAAGAATCAAATCCATTTTAAAGATTGCTAATAGTAGAAATATAAACACCAATTTTCATAAATGCCATTGCAAGTAATCATAATGCAAATAAGATAAACTACAAAATTTACTTTATTGATAATGTGCGGAAAACTTGTCCTTACAATGCAAATACATATGAAAACTATGCTTCTATATATTCCTAAGCAATCTATCATAACTCCTAAGCAGCAGCTCTGAATCCTGATCATTGAACCATGTGACCAAAATCCATTTCTTCATATCAGAATCAGCTTACTCTTCTTTTAAGCTTCTGTCACACCCTCGAACCGGACGGCGGAATCGTCCGAGGGCTTGGGTGACTAACAATTGTATATCATTACAATGAATATATATGAATCAAAACACAATCATCACCAACATTACATCATACAACTGTCATTGTTTACATCAAGTACATTGTTAAATATTACATTACCAAAAGACAAATTGTTCGACAACATTCATTTCACAAAATAAAACTTCCAAACAACGCTTGGTGATTCTTCACTTATCGATTACCTGAGAATACAATTTATTTTAAAAATGGTCAACATATATAATGTTGATGAGTTCATAAGCGTGATTGTTTAAAAAGGTTTCGTGATGATTGTATAATCCAGAAAATCCGATATTTTCTGTAAAAGTTGTTCAAAACATAATGCGATGACCTGAAAATGTATGTGTGATTTCATGACATGTATAATTGATTAAATTCTAAAAACTTTCCTTGTAATGTATTTTCTGTATAAGAGTGATTGATGTTATTTCCCCGGAAAATCCGATATTTCCCGGTATTAAACAATATTGCAGTGTCATATTTTCGTATCGTCTCGTTGCATGAATATGAAATCCCGTAAAAGTAAGAATGGTAATGGATCTCGATGTGAGTCGTTATAACCATACATAATAATGACTAATTCGCCTGTCTTGGCATTTTTCCAAATGCCGGTTTTGATCAAGATTTTGTCACCCTAGACTGGCCGAGTCTAACTGTAGCGAACAACTTAGGTGCAGGGAGTCACCCCCGTATAGATCTATACACAAACTCTCGCTCTCCCTCCAGGAGACTCTGATTATAACTACAGGCTACGGCCGAACACTCATTGGTGTCAACCGATAATTCTCACTTGATCCCAATTATTACCCTATGAATATGAATGTCATTATGTGTATTTGATTACAATTCACTTGTTATTTCATGAATTTTGTATAAAGCCCAACAAACACGAGAAAGGACAACTATGGCCCACTAATCATGTATGTTATTTCCAGGCTATCGAGTATGCGACAGACACGTTATTATCCATCGAGCATAGGATGAATAGTTCGGGCCATTTCAGCAATGCAAATGGGCCACTAAGGCCTAACAGCATGAAAACGCTAATGAAGGCCCATTAGGCATGAAATTGGGTCACCAAGGCCCAATAACATGTTTTGATTATATCGGGCCCAATAATCGTGTAATTGGGTCATGATGGCCCAATAAGCACGATTTGGAAACATTGGGCCCAACCAGTTTATCATTTATCTATTTATCGATATAAATTGTAGTATAGGATTCGTTTTACGATCGGTGTTTACTTTCAATGTTAAAACACTTGATGTTGGATTTATAACGATACTTTGGTTATAAGTATATATATGTGTCTTTTAAATACATATGTTATAAATTTACTATCTTTGGCCCAATTGTTTAAATATTAACATATTTGACCCCAAAATATTTGTTTGACCATTTCAGCCCCTTTTTCACATAAAATTACATTTTCAGCCCCTTCTAAAAGAAATGACATTTTTAGTCCTTTTTGATGAAAAATGACATTTTTAGTCCTTAAATCACTTTTCTTGGCATTTTCGGCCCAATCATAATTTATATTACGATTTCAGCCCAAAAATATTTTATTTGATATTTCCAGCCCTTAATTGTAAAAAGTTCGCATTTTTTTTACCCAATTTCCGTAAGGTTTACATTTTTGGCCCAAAATCCAAAAACTTTGCATTTTTAGCCCAATTTAGAAATAGCTGTCATTTTCAACCCCTAAATTAGTTTATTTATGTTTTTGGCTCAAACTTTGATCAAATTACATTTTTAACCCAAATGCTCCTATTTTTCGCAAATTTGGGCCCAAAACCGTGAGGCCCAAACAATTAGCCCATTAGGCTAAAATTTACACTTTTGGTCCTTTTAAAATCATGATTATTATAAAAAACTCATTTTTATACCAATATGACCTTTTTGATACTTGTAAACCGTAAATGCCATAATTTTTCCCATCTTTTGTTTATTTGTCAAAAATGATCCTTAAACAAGATTTTTGTTTTGTTTTTCTCATCTTAAACTTGTGTAACACTCTCATCTTAATAATATGACGTATAAGGTGTCTTTGATCATGGATTTTACTCATTGTTGTTATGGTTTTCGAGATATGTCAGGATCTAACACATATTCACAACATAATTCAAGAAAATCACACGTAACATACCAAAAACACATAGATCTACACATTTTACATGTATCCTCCCCCAAAAATCATGTAAAAACCAAAAACAAGGGGTATGAACTCACCTTTGCTTTGATGTTTCGGTTTCGAAGAAGAAGTGGAAGAGATTTTTGATCTTAGCACACCTTTGTTGTGGATCTCGAGTTTATGAAGCTTCTATGGTGTGATCATGGAATAAAACTATGTAAGAAGGAGTTTTTCATGTTAAGATGGAAGAAGATACTTATGTTTGACAAGAACTTACCAAATATTGGAATGATTTGATGAAGATCCTTAGAACTCTAGCCAAATTTTCGAGATCTTGGAGGAAAAGAGGAGAAAAGTGCTTGAGAGTAATTGAGGAAATGTTTGAAAGAGTGTGTGGGTGTGTGTTGTGGCTCTCGGCCGAGAAGAAGAAGAAGGGAGGGGAGAGAATTGGTGAGGTGACTTGCATGGAAATATGGGAATCCTTGCATGGATATATGTTGAAAAATATGGAGGTGGCAACTCCTAAGTCAACTCTTATGGCATTTCCCTTTCCTTTTTTTTTTAATTTATGTTGGGCCGAGATTGGGACAAGGAGTGAGAATGGAATAGTTTGAGCCCATTAACATTTAGTTAGGATTTTTGGGAACCTAACACAAAGTTTTCGGCCCATTGGGCCTTTAAATAGTTCACGGCCCAAAATCATCTAAGAATGGGCTTTATGGCTCATTAAAGCTAATTAGGTTAGTTATGGCCCAATAAAGCTCATTAGAGTAGTTTATTCCATTTTAGGCCCAATATGGTCCAAAATGTTAAATTTCAAGAGAGTGGGTCCAATTAGAGCCCATTTAAGGGTTCTCAGCCCAAAGTAGTCAAATTGGAAGCTTATTGGTCCATTAGGCCCAATAAGGAAATCCTAGCCCATAATGGACTTAAATCGGGATTTGTAGGGTTTCCAATCTTTACTTGACTATTTGAAATGTTTGTATAGAGTTTTGATGGTATTTTGTTGTCATTGAATAATCATCATGCATGTTTTCAAGTTTTGGTTACAAGTGTTGTCATTATTATTGTTACAAAAGCATAGAATTTCCTAGTTGTCACAACTTCCTTCTTTCTCTTCGATCCTACAAAACATCAAAATGTGATTAAGACATCATGTAATAAGAATCTATAAATAGGAACTTAATAGAGTTAGATAGTGGATGTCCCTGAAGTATAGTCATACAATTTGACTTTACCATCTCTAAGATCTCTCAAGTAGTCAGGGCAGCTTCGCATCCAATGCCCCTTCAATCAGCTATATAGACAAATGAACTCTATAGGAGTGACACGTGAAACTATCACATAATTGGCCTTTCTCTTATGGTCAAACTTTTTGACATTAGCCAGTTTCTCTCCCTTAGGAGAAGAAATCATTTCTGGACTATCATCGTTGTCATTGCCTATGTCCATGGAAGTTTGGTAGGTCGATCTTCCAAACAAATTTTCTTGACCAGTGCACCAAAGAATTGCTGCTTCGGCAGCAATTAGCAAATATGTCAAATCAATAAGGGTCACGTCATGGTCTGTCATATAGTAGTCTGTGACGAACTCACTATATGACTCAGGAAGCGATTGAAGAACCAAGTCAACAGTCAGCTTCCTTGGGAAAACGACACCCAACATTTCTAGTCTGTCAATGTGCGACTTCATCTTCAAGACATGTACACACATAGACCTTCCATCTTGGTGTTTGCTTGCCAATAGGGCTTGAGTGATCTTGAACTTTTCAAGTCGACGAAAATGTGAGTCAGGGAGAATCACTAGAGGAGGTAGAGAAAGAGAAGTATGATTTCCAGTTTCACCAATGCACGAAGAATGGAATAATCTTTCACCTTGATCGACACATGGAAGATCATCTTCAAAAGGAAATATTTTTCCAAAAGGATTAGGAAGAGCATAGTTTTCATAACTAGACATCTATAAAAGGGAGAAAATTCAAGTTAGTTGATTAAATCCTTAATCCAACACCCAAATGAAATATTACTGTAAGTCCATGAACTCAAATTTATCAAAGTATCAATGCAATCGTTTGAGATAATGCGGAATCTTAATCAAACAATGATATAAAACAATCAATTAGATATATCAAGAACACGTATCAATAACATGAATTCACACAATTCTATAGAATAATTATCTAGTACATCCAGTCACACTTCATCCGTGAATGCCTAGTATTCACCAAAAACACATTAGCCTAGAACAACTATACACAGACCATATATATACTCAACCAATAACCTAAAGCCCGTACATAATAAGCCCACCAAGAACACACTAAGCCCAACGAAATCATTAGGTGATTTCAATCCAAAACCGAGAACAACATAAAACATTTAACACAAAGCATAAACCACTACATATAGCCCAACATTCTCCCCCTTGGTTTATTGCTTTTTGTGCTCTTCAAGGTTTCTCTAAAAGATGTACATCCGCTTGGTCAAAAGCCCCTGCCCACAGTTTCTTGTCGATGATTGTAGCCACCATTCCACTAAAAGCTTTTCTGGCTGCTTCAAATAGTTCATTCTCTACGATAAGCTGAAAGTTAGATAAAGTGTGGATATCACGTTCTCCAAACTTCAACAAATCTTTGGGATCAACCATATGAAACTGGTTTTTCTTCAGCATGATCACCACCGTTGCAGTAGCCTCATCATAAACCCAGAATTGCATTGTATCCAAAGTGCCTTCAGGTAGACGCTTGGGAAGAGGAATCTTTTTGGCTTGCATTGTGGGTGGCCACATGACATTCACCATTGTTTGGTTTGTACGTGGATCAATGACACCCTTGACCTTCTTAGTAAATGACGAAGCAGTCTTTAAGTCTTCAAAGTTATTTTTCGCTTTAATCTCTAGAAAGTTCTTAAAGGACCATGCCATGGTATCATTGGTTGGATTGTGGAAAGGTGCGTGGATGAGTTCTGAATGATCAACTTTTTTCGAGGACAAGAAGTCGACTTTCTTCTCATAATATTCAATTCTACCACTTTTTCGCTTCACGATCCACATCTTCTTGTTTGCATCGTATCCCCACATGATGATGCCAGAACGGCCACCATATTTTTCTGTGAACTTCTTCCCAGTTTCCCTAAAAAACATTTCTGGTTGATCACCCGAAACATTTTGATTAGAATTCTTCATCAAGAGCATTTTCCCTTTCAGCTGCTCAACCCTAATTTGCTTCTCTCTTCTTTCTTGAGCAGAAAGAGAAGTAGAAGATAAGAATGTATCAAGGTTAGCATCTGGAGCAGGTCGTGCAACTTTTTCACTTGAGTATTGTGAAGATGGATTGGCGGGACCTGAACTAGAGGTGGTGATCTTTTCTCCTTCAGCGCTCAAGGGTTGAAATTCATCACCAAAATTTTGAAATAGGCGTTGTTTCAGATCAAAGAATAGAGTAGTTAAACCACCAAGACTCACTTGAAGCTCTGAGATCTTTGAATCTTTATCAAAGTTCTCTTTCTCAAGCTCACTGATTCGGATATCCAGCTTTCCAATTATCAAATCCTTTTCAGCAGAGTCTTGTTCCAGAACAAACACCCTATTCTGAAGCTGAGCGACATCAACAAATTCAGATTCAGGCAACTTGCTTTTGCTTTTGGAGATATCCAGCACGGGGGTTTCAAATGAGCTTCCTGAAGCTAGAGCTCCTTCCGAAGGTATGAATTCTTCTTCAACAAATTGTCTTTTAAAATCCTGATCCATAGGAATGGGCTCAGGGAGCGGGCTTAGTATATCTTGAATCACTGGAGAGGACTCAGTGAATGTGCTTTGTATGTTTTGAGCCATAGAATCAGGCTCAATCGGTGTGGATTTCTTTTGAACTGGGTCTATGATAAGCACTCTCGGCCTTGGATCCCTTCTTTTTCGCTTCCATGGGAGTAAAGTGTGGGCTGATTCTTCTGAATCACTTTCAGATGGACGTTCAGTAGTGACAGGAACTGTTTGGGGAGGTTTCCATGCAGTTCGCTGAAGTTCTGCTATGAGAGCATCCATCTGTTCAGGGGTCGATATGGTAGAATGCATCGTTGTGTCACTTTCCCTTTCAGTCACAATCGGTGGTGTGACAGTTGCATCCTTCTCTGGAATTCAGATACTTTGCTGAATAAAATCTTCAAATTCTATTTATGTCAACTCGTTTTCTTGATCCTCTTGATCTTCTTCATCATCAGATAATTCAACCTCTTCAATGGCGAATTGAAACTTTGGTTTGGATTTCACGTGTTCATCGACAACCTCAGCATTTATTTAACCAACAGCAGGAGTGTCTTCAATCTCAACAAACTTTCAAAATTTAACTAACTCTTTTTGTAACGCCCGTAGATCCGGGCTACTCAATTTAGAGACAATAAGCGTCAAAAATGACTTTATAATAGAAGATGATTTAGAATAAATAATCTTCACCAAGTTATAGTATATGTCATAAGGGTTCCGTACATATAAAGAACGCCGAAATCCGAGTTATAACGAAGAAGTTATGGCTTGTCGAAGTTTTACGGCTAAACCGGCACGCCACTGTGTAACGTAAAAAGTGAGTTTACGATAAAGTGCTTTTTAGCCTTAGAGATCTAAACAAAAGTCGTAGCATACGTTAAACCGAGAGAATGCATAAAAAGAACGCCAAAATCTAACTTCGTATGAGGAAGTTATAATTTTTCTAATATTTGGCATAGGAGTGCACAGCCCGAAATTCGAATTTTAGATCAATTGATTTTTGGCCAACGCAACCTAAATGAGAATTGAAGATCTTATTAATAATAGCACAATGGTAAAAAGACAGACGAAAACGGACGTCGGATGAAGAAGTTATGAATTTTTAACGGACTTTTCCTGTTCCGGCCTGTTAAAAATATAACTTTAAAAATAAAGTCAAAAATAGCCGACGGAGTCTAAACGAAAGTTGTAGAGTACGTCTCCACCTACGCGTGGATATAAAGAACTTAAATTATGGAGTTCGTATGAATGAGTTTCAAATTATAATAGCTTATTTACGTATTAAATTAAAGTATAAATCATATATACGTAAACATATTGTTGGATTAGTGTCTAAGTCCATAACTATTCTGGGATGTACTTGACCCGATTATGAGCATGGTCCTTTTGGGTTGCCTTCACCATAGCAATATGTAGGATGAATTAAGGAGAGAAAGGTTTAATTATGATTTATTAATATATTATGAGCATAAAATATTAAAGGAGAAATCATATAGTTTAATTAATATTAGTCAAGAATTAACTAAGAATTAATTTTGTGGCTAAAAGAGATTAATTAAACTTAGGGGACTGGATTTGTAATTATAAGATAATTACAATTGGGCTATGGATCACCTAAAAATATATAGGTTGGACGAATTCTATAGGAAGCCCATAAGGAATTCGTCCAAGGGATATGTTAAAGGAGTCCATGGGCTGTTTAGGGCCTAAGCAGTCAGATTAGGGTTTTCTGAGTTCAAAACCCTAATAGCCTAAGTATATAAAGACCCCTAAGGCATCAAAAACGTGGCTAAGAGTTCCTCTAGGGTTTCTAGTCGTTTTTGGTGCCTCTTCTCTCCTTCTTGTTCATCCAAGTTGCTTAGTGGTGTTTGTGACTCCATTAGAGGTGCAACACTTGAGGCATTAAGCTTTCTGAAGCCAAGGAATTGATTGTTATTGCTATATAACAATCAAAGGTAAGATCTAAACCCTAATTTCAGTTATAGTTTATTAGATCTAGGGTTTATGGCTTTGGATAATCAATTGCATGTTCATTAGACAAACTAGATCCAAAGCTATTAGGGTTTGCATGTACACCATAGGAATGATGTAGTGCTCAAAACCCATCAGTGGTATCAGAGCCTAGGGCTATTTGTTAGTGAATTTGATGCTTATTTGATCGAAATTTGGGTGAAAATCGAAATTTTTGAGGTTTTTAGGCTTGACTTGCCGAGTCAACTGGGTGACTCGCCGGGTCCATGGTGAACTCGACGAGTCCAAGCCAGACTCGACGAGTCAGAGGGTTAGATGGAGCAAAAGTCGCGATTTTCTTGCCTTTTTGCTGTGGGATAATTACCAAAACGTTTTTGATTGATAAAAATCGGATTTTTATGATATTGGGTGATTATCCTTACCAAAATAAAAGATAATTTCATATTAATTGAATAATTAATTCCTTATATGATAAAATTTGATTATTTGAATTATTTGGTGAATTATCTTGCAAGAAATTGGACTAGGTCAAAATTAGATAACCACCAATTAATTGTTAATTGCCTTATTTGAATTTTTGATCTAGAATGTTCTTGCTAAAGTTTAAAAAAGTTTCAACTTAACCCTTTAGGTTTCATAGTTTAAATTTGAGCTTAATATTTTTAGTTTTTGAAATTTAAATAGGTGAACCAAAATGTTTTGAAAAGTTCAAAACTTGTCCTCAAGTTTTGGAATTTAAAAATTAATTAAAAGTTTAATTTTGAAATATTTAAATTCTAAAACCGTAGTACTTTGAAAAGTTCAAACTACACCCTTATGGTTTTATTAATTAATTAAAGTGTATAATTAAAAGAGATTTAATAAAATCATAAAGTTTTGGTTTACATTTAATTAAATTAAAAGTATAATGTAACATCCTAAGTTCGGGTATGTAATTTAATTATTTTTCTTTTGGTTTTATTGGGGGGACCCGACGAGTTGGTGCCTCAACTCGTCAAGTAGAGGCTTATCTTTTGATGCGGTTTCGCGACCGGACTCGACGAGTCGGGTATCTGGACTCGCCGAGTCGGTGCTGATTAGGAAAACCCTAATCCCTGGGTTTGAGAGCCTATTTAAGGAACATTATGGCCTTCATTTGTGGCCACCTTGTTCCTGAGAAAACCCTAAACGCAGAGAGAGAGGCTTGAGTGCTAAAGAGAGCTTATAATCTTCATTGTGGGGTGATTTTGCTAGAGGAAGAAGAAAGGAACCATCTAGAACGTGAAGGGGGCTTGGATTGGAGCTAATCTTCCAGAGATAGTGTCATTGGAGGTATAATTCTTTCCATTTCACGTTTATTGGGTAGATCTCATAGTTTTAGGGTTTTCCTTTATGAAATTGTGAGATCTAGAGAAGTATGAGGTCCCTTTGGTATGGATAACATCATATCTGGACCATGAGAGGTCCCTAGAGTCATTATCTTCCTGCTTTTTGCAAGCAAATAGAGAATTGGAGACTAGGATGCCATTTCTAGTGTTATTTCTCCATTTGAAGCTTGTTATGGGTTGCATGCACGTAAAGGTTGCACCTTTACGTGACTTTTGAGTATTTAGAGGTTAGATCTATGGTTTGATCAAGCAGATCTGACCTCATGAGGCTGTTTGAGCAAGTCCATGGAGGAAACTCGCCGAGTCCATGAGTAGACTCGACGAGTCGGATCGGGTTGCCCCGAGATCTGACTCTAGTGGTAACCCGGTGAGTGGAGGGGTGACTCAGTGAGTCAAGAGAGGTCTGGAAAAGGGTAGAAGTCTGTGGGAACGATGGGACTCGCCGAGTCGTCGTATGCACTCGGCGAGTCTGGTCAAAGTTGGACAGTGGACTTTTGGTTGACTTTTAGGGTTCGTCAACTATTGGGCCTATTGGGCCTGGGGGAGGGGTAGAATGGTCTTTTACCCTTCCAAGGATTTTAATTAGAGTATAACCAGTGTTGTGAAGGAATATTTATTTAGTGTAACTTATTATTGTGTCTAGGCAGAGGCTAGGCCAGTATTTCTGAGTTCGAGATTCCACCGAGATTCCCGAGGTGAGTCTTCTCACTATACTTACCTAGAGTGGTAATTAGAGCTATGTGACCGAGTATTTATGTGTTATCTATGTGACATGATTACTATGTGTTTGATTGTGCATGATTCAAAGTTAGGAACGGAAGGTCCATAGAGTTAGGACCAGAGGGTCCACAGAGTTATCGGACTGGAGGGTCCCGCAAAGTTATATGGTCGGAAGGCAATCAGAGTTTAGCCTCGAGTGGCTTATGTGTTGTATGTGGTATTTTGGGGAACTCACTAAGCATTTATGCTTACAGTGTTTTGTGTATGTGTTTCAGGTACTAGTGATGATCGCGAGAAGGCGCCGGCATGATCCGTACACACCAGCAGAGACTATGATTTGAGATTGTGGGATTGATATTATTACTTATGATTTGTGAAAACACTTGATTTATATTTTTGGAGTAATATGGATGAGATATTTTATTAATTAAAAATCAAAAATTTGTTTAGAAAAATACGGTGTTACATATTATTAATTAAATTAGACCACCTAGTATTTTAAAAGTATAAAATACACCCTTATACTATATATAAGATTAAAAGTTTAATTTGTTATATATCTATGAGTAAAAAGTCAGTCTTACCGTTAGTAGCCCTCATTCACGAAGCTGGTCTATAAGGGGTGTTTAAGGAAATTGCCTATAAAATGGCGATTGAATGGGTATCCACTCTTACCCACCGCACTCTTGACTAGTGGAGGGTCGTTAGCCGAACGGGTAGGATAGGACAAAACCTTCCATTATAAGTATCATGAAGTGCAAAGTAACTAAATGTTTTTACAAATTCCCAAATCATAGTTACTTTAGGAAAAATGTGAAATTGTATGCTAATCCATGGAATTACACTTTGTACCCTTGTCGAGACGTTAGTGGAGCGTGTGTGGTTAACCGGCACACTAATTTGGGTTTGGCATTGGTAGCGAAGGGTGGCTTGATGTTTATCATAGATCAATGGAGCGTGTGTGGCTAACCGGCACATTGATTAGGTGATAGTAGCATTGAGTGCACCAAGTTGATTCATATGGTTATTCACACCTTGTTTGTGATCATCGGCATCCCAGTCGCAAACTTGAAGGGCATAATCGAGATTAAACATGCCATTGAAAAGTTCAGTGAATCTCAAAGGATCTAGGAGTTTCAATTCATTTAAAACTTAAACTTCTTTTTCGTTTTTCATGGTGGAAATTGGTAAATCGTCATTTACCTACCTTCAAATATTCTGCAACTAGATTACGGCATCCCTCTTCTAGGTTGT